AAATCGATATTCTTTCATTATCACGCCACTCTTTCTCTGTTTCCTTCGAATGAAATGCACGATTAGATCATGCTGTTCGATCATGACCTTGGGCGATGTGTTTTCCAATTGCCGCTCGAGCGAATAAAACTGCTAAAGAAGAACACGTCCGTTTCTTCTTCTGGTATGATCTCATGTATTTAGCAACGACAAAGGGACAACGACATTCCGTGTTTCGAGAATTACATGGTGTTCGACGAACGTTCGTGTGATTAACGAGCTGTTTGATTTGTTTCGTTTCAGATATCTCACCGGTGGCAACCGAAGCGAACAAGAGGTTCGTTCGTGTTTTATGTTCGCGACAAAGGATCGCATCGTGATGTAATGTCTCTCAGTGAGAAAAAAAAAGGCAGTGCCTTGCTATCGAGCTACGCCCGTTTATTCAGTATATATTACCACGGAGATTGATCGAAAACACGAGAAGAATGCATCTTAGCCTCGAAATTATGATGATACCTTTAACATAACGTTTAACGAGTGGTTCTCGGCCGACGGAAATTTCGTTCACCAGCGAACCCAGTGCCAGGGATGATCGCATGTTGCTCGTTGCAACGGAAGTCAAATTTTCTCTCTTTCTTTCTCTCTTTTGAAGGTGACGAGTGTCAAACGCTAGAATACAGTACTATACATCTCTAACCGTAGTACAGATTTGCAAACACGAGTTCGATCGTCGATCGGGCACGAAGAAGACTGCTACCAGAAAATATGTAGATGGTATTGCGACTGTCTAAACGATGGAGCCTATGTATTCCTGTTGAATAAATGAAAAACATCTAGGATATACGAACGAACATACATAACCAAGCTTATCTGTCCTTTGAAAGGAAAATACGCTTGCACGAACGTATAACGCAATGCATTATCCTTCCGTTTCCCATTAAAGATCGCGAGATGCAAAAACGAACCGGCTCGTCTTCCCACTCCCCCGCGTAAAAAATCTATCGAGCTCGAATTGAATTTCTCGATGGTAGTCGCAAGTTTATATTTAGTTCTCGTCACCCGTTACCATGTTGGTTGAACGTGTCGGAGGAGATAATGACTGTTGCTGCTTTCACGGCCTCTCTAACGGTCCATTCTCGTCTCTTTTTCTGCTTACAGATTTCAGGCCAATCGTCTTGGGAAAGTTCCACGGTGTCGTTCGAAATTCTCGGCACATGCTGAGGCTACAGACGTCCCTTAACCGGCGCGGGTTCCCATGTCCAAGGTGCGCCCGTACCTTTCACACTTCTGGCGGCATGAGTCGCCACTACAGGCTCGAATGCGTCGATCTGCCGCGTTTCAAGTGCCCGCACTGCGATATGCGCAGCAAGTATACTCAGGCTGTGTACAGGCACATTAGGGCCAAGCATCACAATATGGAGCTAAGGTTTGTCAAGCTTTACTGAATTCTTCAACGGCTGGCGCTGTGACACACATGTTGCTCCAATTTCGAATCGTCGACATGACCGAATCACCTCCTATTTTTATATATATATATATATATATATATATATATATATATATATAT